AGCGCTCTCGCTCTATATCATCAATTTCTGCAACTGTCAGAACTAGAATCCTAGGCTAGATGCATTATTCATCTGACTCAGTATGGCACTTCTTATATTCTAATGACCATGCAGAGAGGGGGAACCCCTCCACCCACTACTGGTATCCCAGGTTGAGCCCAGCCCCAGCACACCCTGGCTGGAGTGGAATAGGAGATCCCCCTGCCCTCAGGACAGTAGAATCAGTGGCAGGCAGGGAAGGACAGGGGATGTGCCTCTGAGCATGGAGGGGAATGGATGGAGGAGAATTCTTAACTTCTTCGGGGACAGAGTCTCCGGCTTCTGCTCTTGCTATGCAGTGAGAAAGAGAAGCGGGGGTGCAGCAACACCAATTCACCTCCTCTGGATCTGCCTTATACCCTACCTTGAGCAAGGGGTGGGACTATATCTGTCGTTTTAAACATTTTTTTGTTTGTGAACCCCTAAAAAATTTCAAATGGAGGTACAGCTCCCTTTGAATTGTAAGTGGGTATTCACATACTTTTGATTTATCATAGTCATCTTTTGCAGACCCCTTAGACTGTCTGCAAACCCCTATGGGTCCATGAGCAACAGGTTGAAAACCATTGGACTAGGTGATTTTCAGAGGTCCCTTACAGCCCTACTTTGCTATGATTCTATAATTCTAACATTAAGTGCAGAAAAGCAGATGGGACACTCAAATACACTTAGTGTATTTACTTGAAAAAAAGATGACTCTGAATATAAGACAACCCCTCCCCCCCATAATTAGATTCTACACACAGACAATTTTAGAATTTATTGTAATTTTCCTTGTATGGAATCTAATTATTGGAGGATCATCTTAAATTGCCTTCCCGCCCCTCCCAACTACTGCAGGTGATGAGGGGAGCAGTAATGGGGCAGGTAGTGGGGACAGGCAGTGGAGGAGACAGTAGGCAGGGCAGGCAGTAGGGAAGCAGTAATGGGGCAGGCAGTGTGGAAGTGGTGGGGCAGGCAATAAGACAGGCATGCAGCTTGCCTCCTGCTGCCTACCTCCCCTCCCCCTTCTAGCCACTACAGCTTCAGTTTTCTTCCCCCTTTCCCTCATTTTCCCCCCCAAAATCTCCCCCCCCCACTTTCCCTGCTGCAGCCCAGGGCCTGGAACATGGCTCCAGCCCAGTTCCATAGCAGTAGCACTTCTGCTATGGGGCTGAACTGGAATAGCAGTTCTGGCTGCACACCACTGCTATGGGCCTAGGCTGGAGCCACTCTCTGTGCCATGGGCTGCAACAGGGATGGAGCCAGCTGGTGCAGAACAAAGATAAGGAAAGGTGTGGTAGAGAGGGAGAGAGTAGAAGTAGCATAGGGGAAGGCTGGGGGCTGCAAGGGAGGACTGGAAGTGCATGCAGAGGCAGTGGAAGGAGGAAGACAGCAGCTGTGGCTCCAGCTTCTGCTCCAGCCCTAACCACAGGTTGGGCCCAGAGCCACAACATCTGCCTTTCCCTTTCACCCCCCATTGCCTCAAACTCTATTGTAATGAGAGGGGCTTCCCTGCCCCCCATGTTAAATAGGGGGAAAAGCCTTATCTTATAACTGAGTAAATATTATAGGTCAGTCTTGAGTGACACCATACTTGTACAACTAAGATTAATGTATAATAGGTTGTGCAGTACCTTATCATCTTATTTATATAAAAACGCATTAGTCTTGTTCATGCTTTATCCTTACAGGGTCATTACACAATGAGATATGCTACTCATTCCAAACTTTCCCTATATTGTTGGGATGGTGTATATATGTTTGTTTTCAGGTTAAACTTCTGATCTGGATAGCTTGCTACTTTTTCAGGGACATTTAAAATACATTGCATATACAGGTTTATGTGGTATGTGTGTTCCCAGAAAACTGCGTGTAACTTGAATTTGCATACATGGAACCTAGTTTATAAGGTAACAAATAGGGATACGTTACCACAGCGGTGAGGCAGGGAGGGAGTGAGGCCGGGGCTTCGGAAGGGGTGGGGGGGAGATGCACGGTGCAGCCCAGTGGCTGCAGGCAGGTGCTGTTGGCTGCTGCAGGGGTGCAGCAGAGGGTGTGGCTCTTGCTACGATGCACACCCCAGGAGGGCTGTGGGCTAGGGGGCAGTGCCATGCTCTTCTGGGGGGCTCATGCCCCCGGATCTGCACATGGGACAAGAGCAGTCTGTCGCTGTGGGCTGGGGCCAGTGGCAGCACGGGGCTCCTTCCCCTACAGACTTATCGCACACATAACAAATTCTGGGTGTAAAAAGGGTCACTGCATAAGAGGAAATTCACATATATAGAAACCCCATAAAGTGAGGGAAACCTGTATCTCTCTCTCTCTTATGGCCCCTATACATAAAGTAATGAGTAATATTTAAAGCTATAAACAAATAACTGCAAATTTTCTTATGGTGATTTTAAAACCGATGCTTATATTAGGAAAAAAGCTTTAATGAATCACAGAAACTATTCTGACAATACATGCTTGAAAGCAGTACATTCTGCATTTTTTGTTTCACTAAACTCTGGAAAAAAATCTACAAAGTTGGTGCACAATGCTTCTTTTTTCTTAGATAAGTCTTTAAGATAATAAACTCTACCTCTCTCCAATAAAATAGACATGGGAACTTATCCTTGGCTACAATCTTTTACTCAGTGCAATGACAATGTTTTATTACAATCTTAAGCTTTCAATCCTTGAATGTGTTTGGAATTGGTATGTGAAGGGAAAGTGTTCTCGTGGTATTATTTTACTATAGAGATTTTTTTAAGGGATATGCATTTCCAATATGATAAATAAAAATTATATTTTCATAACATTAATGTTGATAATGACAAAAACATTCAAACTTGGATAATTAAAGTTTGTTCCCCACTACTAACTGGTTAATTGTGCAATTATCTTGAGATCATCTACATGCGCAAATACTTATCAAAGTCAGACCTCAAAAATGTGTACTAACTCTATAGCTGGCTGCTATCAAGCTTTAATTTGAATATGTAGCAAGTTCTCCCCTGTATACAGCTGGATGCCCTGTCAGCTGTGTTCTCCCCCCACAGGTGTGCACCTTGCCTAGTCATGGCTGAGTCCTGCAACTGCTGGGGACCCTAAGCCCTAGCAGCTGCAAACTCTGGGTCCTGGCAGCAGCCTGCAGTTGCCAGCACTCAGAATCCCACAGCTATGGATGCTAGGTCCCTGCAATGCACCTCCCATGTGTGTGAACACCCCAGGGAGTCTCTCAGAGGCAGAGGGTATGTGAAGTGCCCCTGTGGCTGGGATCCCCTCTACTGAGGGGGCCCTAGCTGCAAGAGCTTGCTTCTTGCTGGCACAGGGGGAGCCACTGGCAACAAGGTGCAATGGGATCTAATGCACAATCCCACAATCACACCTTCTGTCATGCAGGGGCCATTTCATTTAGAAAGGAGACACACAGAGCTGTAAAAAATTAATAAACAGAAAAGAGAAAGGTAAATTAGGAAATCCTATTTCTCTTCTTTAGTACAAGAGCTAAGAATGTGTAGTGAAATTTAAAGAAATTTTAAATCTGATAACATGATAAAAATACATTTTATTCTTCACACAACAAGTAGTACCTGTGGAATTCAGTCCTAAAAATACTGATGGGAGGAAACGTTCAGTCTAAGTCACATAGATAATGAAATTAAATAGATAATAAGGTAAACAATCATCATTTTAAAAACTGTATAAAGCATGTCAATGCGCATGCTTCTAGGCACATGTTAATAAAATAGGGCCTAAAAATAAATTGCCCAAATAGGTTATTTCATAATTAGAGAGGGTTTTTTTGTTTGTTTTTTGTTTTTTTGCACTTTCGAAACCTTAATATTACACTGGAGAGACCACCAACCTCAACTTCTATAAAAATTCAAAGGTTCTTCTAAAGCTGCGGTTCCCACCAAGGAATCATGTTTAACCGATTAACTAGCTGCTTAACACAAAAGAAAACAAAAAGTGAGGCAAAAGTCTCATAAAAAAGATTAAAAATCAGCCTGAAATCCCCCAATGTTTTCTAAAACATAGCGGAACCTGAGCCAAATTTTTGTGTTTGGAATGAACAAACAAGCTGGACTATTTTCACAACTATACTATCTCAATGGCTACAAGAAAAAGTTGTTTTAGAGAGCAGCTTCATATAGCTGGCCATTTGAACCGGAGATGGATTTTAGACAAAACTTAAAACAAGCTATTCATATATTAAATTTTGGTCCTCAGCTTCAGCTTACTAAAATATAATAATGGACAGGACACAAACCACTCTTTCCATTCCTTTCCTCACCACTACTACCAACAACCCTGCCTGATGTATCTAAGCAACTGTGGTCTCAATGGGTGCGTGTACATGAGATGCTGAGCTACTGCACAGTAGCAGCTAAAAATTGCTACTGAGGAGTAGCAGCTAAAAATAACTGTGAGGTGACGGGACTGCACAGGAACGCTGGTTACTCAGCAGTTGGCCACTCATATAGATACACCCAATAGGACTGTAGTACTGGTTCCTGGATTAGCCTCTGAAATCTCACTGGTCAAGAAAAGTGTCATACAAAGGGTGTCTGGAAATGGTCCTTAGACATTCAGTTCCAGGACTAATAGTCACTACTAGATCTGATAGGTTTAGAACTCCCTGGGATTTTGTGGCAGAAATCAATCTCAACCAACTCATTTCCTTCCAGAAAGATGGGAAGGGTCAGGTTATAAAAACATCTTCCTCTTTAATAAATACATTCTCCATTCCTTTAATGACACATTACAAGAAAAATAAGTAATGTAATAATCACTTTCAATTTACATAATTTAAATGTTAAAGCTTGGATAAAATTTATAACTTTTAACTATTTAAAATTTTACCCAGGTCAACTTCATGTATGGTAAATTATATTTAACAAACTCAAAATTTCACATCAAATTAGACAGTATGCCGTAAGAAAGGAATACTTTTAAATTCATATTCAGAAGTCGTTTTCAAGAATTCTTACCTGTTGAATGTGTCTACTACTTCGTTTTTGAGGTTGATAGGTAAGCCACGTATATAGGACAGGATCAATATTGACAGCTAATCCTTGCACACTGGTCAAAAGTACTGCACCTATATAATATAAAAATAAAACGCAATTAGAATGAAAGATATATACAAAGGTATTTTTTTGAAGTCATTTTGTAGCAACTACATTTAAAAAGTTCATTCCATTTCTAGAGGTACCAGGTCCTAGGATATTCTCTATTTTAAGACTGAAGAGTACCAAACAAACTGAAAGATTATTTAAAATTATAATTTAAAAGCAAACCCTTTATTTACTCCAGATTATATTTGCTACATACTTCTCTTGATTAGGTTGTATCAATTTTGCTGATGGCATAGTATCATAATTAGGGGTGCACCGATAAAGATTTTCTTGGCTAATACTGATGGCTGATTATTAACCAGCTATATCAGCCAATACCGATCTGATAGCCAATTTACAGAAATGCACTCGGGCAGCGCGGACAGCAGTGTCTGGCCAGTAAGTCTGTGGAGGGGGAGGGGCATGGCAGGGGAGACAGACACCACTCGTATGGTTGAGGGCCTCCGTGGCCAGCCCTATGAGGAGAGGCTGAGGGACCTGAATCTCTTCAGTCTCCGCAAGAGGAGACTGAGGGGGGATCTTGTGGCTGCCTACAACCTTATCAGGGGCCACCAGCAGGGACTTGGGGAAAGTCTGCTCACCAGGGCCCCCCTTGGAGTCACCAGGAACAATGGCCACAAGCTGAGGGAGGATAGGTTTAGGTTAGATATTAGGAAGAACTACTTCACTGGAAGGGTGGCCAGAGCCTGGAATAGGCTTCCCAGAGAGATGGTGCTCTCACCTTCCCTCGAAATCTTCAAGAGGAGACTGGCTAGGCACCTGGCTGGGGTCTTATGACTCCTGCCACCCCCAGTGCTCCTTCCTGCCCATGGCGGGGGGTCGGACTAAATGATCTGTCTAGGTCCCTTCCGACTCATTGATTCTATGATTCTATGGAGAGGGAGGGAGTGGAGCAGGGGCAGGCACTGCCCAGCTAAGGCAGTGAATGTGACCCCAAAACCAGAAGCGGGACACAGCTGCAGGCAGCTTGTCCAGAGGGTTCAGGGCAGTGGGGGGTGGAGGGAGGGTATGTGTCCCCCAGATCTATGCATGGGGCAAGATCGGACTGCCCGCTGTGGACTTGGGGCTGGGCCAGCCTCTTCATGGCAGGGGGGAGGAAGCTGGGCTGGGCTGAGCTCCAAGCAGGCAGGGGTGCAGTGGGCAGTGGCAGCACTGGAAGGGGTGCGACAGTGTGGGCTACAACAACCCCAAAATTTCCCATAGCCACCCAGTAGTCACACCTCCAAGTGCTGCTGCCCGCCCCCACCTGCCCTAAGTGCAGTCCTGGCCCAGCCCTCAGCGTCAAGCCTGGAGAAGGCAGCCCACCCTCATTCCACATACAGATCTGGGGGGCACATGACCCCCATGTCTCCCCCAGGGATGTGCACAGTGGCAGGGAGCTGCCCACTCTCCCCACCCCTCTGTGCATCCTGGATAAGCCATGCACAGTTCCACCCTGCTTCCAGCCCCAGGATCACATTCACCACCCCTGGCTGGGCAGTGCCTTCCCTTGCCCCTGCCTCTGCCTCACTCTCACTGCGGGGGCCTTGATCTGCATCCCCCCCCCCCCCC